CCCCCCCCGCCATGTCATTTCCCCACTATGAATGGAGTTGCTGCCCGCTCCAGACTCTTTTTCTTTGCTCTGCGTATGGTCTGAAGAATCCATTCTGCCGCAGTGGGCTGCGATGATCATGGATGATCAAATGATCGTTAGAATGTGTGGACGTGTGGACTCCAGCAATATGATGGCGATGGCGAATGATGATGACGAGGAAGGAGGGCGGCGCGGCGGAGACTGTTTACAGTTCCCCTCGTCATTGACCTCATCATGGGCATCATTGTTGTTCCAGATGCCCTGATCGAGGCTGCTCTCGCCAGGCAAGATAGCCTTTCTGTGGTTCTGTGGTGGACACCAATGGAGATCTGTTATCTCCGACACGCCGACATGGTGGCACCTCTGTCACATGACCGATGGGCAGCCAAGGTGGGATTAGTTTCGGAAATCCGTCCGCCTATCTTTCTCCGCACTTTGCTCCGCTTCCTTTGCGAGGGGCTGTGCTGTGCCAGCTAGGGGGGAAGTTTCAGATAGACGATAGATCATCAGATTATCGACTATTGAATCAGTTCCAATAACCACAGCAACACATGGCCTTTCGTGTCATCATCCTCGCCAATCTCACCAATTTTCACGAGAGAGCCTTATCATTCCCGCTCAGGTCGCGTAGTCGGCGATTTCCGTTGTCAGACTCAGGTCATAGCCTCTACAGCCGACGATACACGCGAGACAGCCACTTAGCGCGGGCTACATGTTATTCAGGCCCGCCTCTCACTTACTGTGTACTACTAACCGACCAGCTAGGTAACTTTGACCCTGCACAGCCATGTAAGCAATCGATCAGGGGGATTTTCGCTGCCTACACGGAGGGGCTTAGTCGTTGAGTCGTTGCCAAGCGGACGACACGTTTTGTCGAGGGAGGAGATAACTAGTTACTCCGTACTGTAGTGGCCCCCAAGGGACGATCAATCCCTACCCGGAGTCACGTCGTACGTACTCCAGCCCCAGCTCTGTCTATCCTTCACCCAAGGTACGTACTAGTCAACACTATTCCGCCTAGGCAAGAACAGTCTACTCCGCATTCGCAAAGCCCAATTGTCTCGCCTCAAAAATGCGCGATGGCGTGGCGTGCCTATACCTCGCTTGCGGTCGATCTTGACCTGCCAAGCATAGCATAGGCTGGTTGCTTGTGGAGAGGTAGACAGGAATGGGGAGAGAGGGAGAGAGCCGCACAAAGCCAAGAAGGGGATGGCGGATGACGCCTAAGCGATGATGGTCCTCGGGGTCTTTGCCTTTCAACAAAGATTAAGGCGTGAATGACGGTCTTTTAACATGTGGCAGCCGGTGAGGAATTCCATTGGGTGCCTTTTCTACCTACAGACCTCTGTGACGAATGATAAGGATGTGGGAAATGACCTACGTGGACGGACTGTAGATGCGTATGAGTAATAAGTTAGGCAATAGACAAGAAAAGGAAAGGAATTTGGATTGCCTTATCTCCACATAGTTGATAAATTATGTGCAAGACACGAGTAACTAGATAGTGGGTATACGAGCAGAGTATAGTATGTGATTAGGGCAGGGGCCAAAATAAGGCAGACAGAAACGGAATTACGGCAGGAGATGGGATCCCGATGGGGGGTGGGGACCCGTCGTATTCGCATATGAATTGCATTGATTGTTGTGTTGTGCTGTGCTGTGCTGTGCTGCTGCTGCTGCTGCTGCTTGCTGCCCTGTTGTTTGAACTCCGCAGGGGCAGCATCTTGCAACTCACAATTCTCTAAACCCGACCGAGCGAGACTTACTGCCCGTGGGCTTGCTTACCTATCCGTTTTCGGTCATGACTCCTTCTCGCAACCATGTCCCAAAGGGTGCTGTACAGTTACAGGGGTGCATGGACGGACGGAGTTGGATAGCAGTTCGGCTTTTGTTTATCAGGGATTACTCATCGTGAGAACCCTGGGAGGCTGACAAACGGGATTGGGGATCGAAGAGGCTATTCGGATAGGCTACTCCGTACCGCACCTCAGATTCCTTTTCTGCGCCCGGCAGAAGAAGAAAAACTTTTTGAGTCGGGTGGGGAACTCATTTGTGACGGGTCACGGATCCCGTCCGCAAAAGCCCAACTAGGGGTCAACTACTATCGTGAGGCTGGGTACTCGTATGTTAGGGGACCAAAAAGATAATGTGTTAGGTAGGAGCTTAGGAATCAATTCCATTATGAATCAAAAGGGTCAAAGAGTCAATTAGCAGTGAGGGGGGTGGTGTACCTCAAATCTTGTATGCCCTCTCCTTGTACAGAGTATAAGAGCATTAATAAAAGGATTCAAGCCCAGCTGGGTGCCCTGGACTGATCATCAACCGTGGAAATATCAAGATTTGACACTTGGCGCGCGAAGACGCCAAAAGAGTGAAGATGATGAATAATGATGGTGTTTGCAGTCAGGATTTCTAATGCAGACAATCGTTGAGTAATCGTAATCTTGCTAGGCCAGGTGTGCTGGGCACCTGCTGGAATTTTCTAGCTTGGGAGCTTTTTTTTTTTCTCTCTCTCTTTCATTTGCTCAGCCGGAGACCACGGCGCGGAAAGATTGGTCATCGGAAACCCGATCAGGGTTTTCTTGGTGCTGCTGCTGAGCTGGGATCGCCCAGAACGGGAATAAGCAGGCGGCGCCCAGACGTGAGTCACTGGCTTGCGGCAACTATTGGTCTCGTTGATGGGCGGTGAGGATAGCAATTGCCCTCTTGGGCAGGGATTTTGGGTGCAGGGCAGAATTTCGATGGTGGATCCGGCTTTCCTTGACGGAGTTTCCGATCCACGGACGGTCTGTCGCCGAGCGTCCGATCGCGCCTTTCGGACTTTAGATGGAGTACGAGCAGAGTAATGAGTAAAAAAAAAAAAGGGAAAAAAGGAAGTAAGAAACGGGGATTGGAAATAGCGGATGACAAGCACCGAAAAGAAAAAAAAAAGAATCAGCCTAGAAAGTGGATATATCATAAACAATCCCTATCTCCCTGGTACATCTTGAAATGTTCTTTTGCTTCTCTTCTTCTTCAATCACAACACATAGCTAATAATCCTCCCCTGTTCGCTTGTCCACCTCAGACCGCAACCATCACGACATACACATACATCCCGCACCACCAACACATCCATCCACCACCTTTCCCTGCCGGCCACTACTGTGTGACTATTGAAAGTGCATGATTGTTAGTGGAGACATTGGGACGCCAGGAACCCCTACCAGCTCGACAACACTCAGACATCAGTATTTTCCACCGTTGTCTGCGTCTGCACACTGCATCAGTCGCAAACGCACTAGACTGAAAGATAAGGCGCTGCTGCGATCCATTATTGATCCGCCTGCAGCGATACCAGCGATACCAGCGATACCAGCGACCCTTGACTCACCGCCCCGCCATCCGCCATAAGGTTGATTGGTCGATAGGTCGACTGCCGGAAGGAGGAAAGGCAGCCTGAGTCACCGCGCCGCGCAAAGCGAACGAGTCACCTCTAAGCCTCTAAGTTCGGCGATCCTTACTAGCATCCTTAGCAAGCACATCAACACGGCCCTCCCGGAGATTTGCGCCATGGCAACTCCTGCTTCCCCCACAATTTCTACTTCTACTCCCTCCTCCCACCCTCCCTCTTCCTCTTCTCTTCCCTCCTCCACTCCGTCTCTCAGCTCCTACTTCACCTCTCTGGCCCGCCGTCGCCAACAAAAGAAAATGAGCATCACCCAAACCTACTATCTCGCCCACACCGCCCGCAAGAAGCTCACCCGTGAAGCTTCCCGGGCGGACCATGATCTCCGCCTTCTGGTTGGCCACGCCAACCTCCTCGACTCGCTCATGCTGGAGCTGGCTGATGCCGAACGTGAACAAGAACATTGGTTCAACCAGACCGTCAGCGGTGTGACCAAGACCTCCCACCACTCCGAGCCTCGACACATCCAATGGGCGGAGACTGTCGTTGAGGACCCGGAGGAGGACTGGGATCCCGAGGACCTTTCTGACGCCGACTCCGACGTCAGCGAGGATGACTCCGACTACGACGAAGACCAGTATGAGCCCACTACCTACAGTCCAGTGCGACGACGGGCTCCCTCCCCGGTGGCCATCATCACCGAGAAAGAAATCGAGGAGGACTACGACTCCGATTCTGATTCCGACTTTGAGTACGACGATGAGGAGGATCTGGAAGAATTGACCCTGACCCGCTCGCCGTCCCGGCAAACCCCACCCGAGCTGCTGTCCGACTCCGATGGAGAGTCGGAAGACGACACCATGCCCCCTTCACCTCCTCAACCAACCCTGGAAACATTCAACGAGAAGGAGCCGCAAACCGCGGAAATCCCTCTCTCCCCGACTGATCTGGAGAATGGCTACTACGTTCCCGGCCAAGCGCCAAGTGCGATGCTTGAAGCTTATTGAGATCGTACCTTGCAGCAGCGGCTGATCCCCCATTCTCTGTACCATTATCATACGTGATACCCTCGTCGTGGATTGTTTCTGGAAGAACCTTTTTCTTCTTTTGTCTTGGGGCAAGTTGTCACCATCATAGCGGGTCCGGCGTTTTTCTGAAACCAAAAATTACTTCTCTCCTATCATCATGATTCAGCATTGTTTTGGGATGGCATATTGGCATTGGGGGTGGAGTCCCCCCTTTTTTTGTTTTTGCATGCCCGAGCGCTTGGGCATTGATTTCTCTCTTCTCATACCCGCCCACATCTTCGGGTCCCATCTCTGTCTTCTTCCTGGTCCCACCGTTGGGCCGCATATATTGGCGGCCCCATTTTTCTTGTTTATGTATTCCACGACATGATCTATAACGGTGGCCTCTCCGGTATATGAGACGAGATGATGAAATTGCATATATAGAACATAATCATATCAACATTATACATGAACTCCTTCAATCTAAATTCACGTACTCATCCTTGGCCGGTCGGTAATCATTGCTTTGATGTGTCAAGCATTGGCAAAGCGATCACGAAGTGATCAGTAAACTGGCTTAGTACTCACTAAATCGCTAGACTAGTCGCAGGTGCAGAAGAAGACTTGACTCCACTTCTTAGCCCCATCCGGGAGGCTAGTTGGGCAGCTGGCTGCTGGCTAGACCGGGATGGCAGTGCCGATCGCGGCCCTCGCCAATCCAGGCCGAGTTCACCGCCCCGTGACGGATCACATGGCTGACGGGCGATCGATCCGCACGGAGGATCACCGCCGATCTCTCTGGTTCTTTTTCCCTGACTGACTGACTGACTGACTGACTGACTGACTGACTGACTGTTGTACCGACTCGATTCCGTCTTCCGTCTTCCGCCTGTCCCTGTCACCCGCCTGGTCTGGGTTCCTGGAATCCGGAATCTGATTGATCTTCTTCCTTGCTTTGCTAGAAAAACGATCGATGGATCAAGTCAAGGCCGAGTAATCCCTCACCGTCTTTAGATTCGGTTTTGCTGCCATTGGAACTATTAGAGTTGGTCGAACTGGAGGTTCTTCTACTCCATCTAGGCCCTCATTCGAGTCGTTCTTTCGTAAAAAAAAAAAAAAAAAAAAAAATCCTGCCAAAACATACTGAGTCTGGATTCAGGCCGCAATGGTGCACCGTAGTCTCCGCTGGCACTATATGTTCCAGACCGGCTGGTCAAGCTGAGGGTAACAACTTGTTGCGCTTACATGGACCGGACAGATATACTTGGTTTGACTTGGATTGGACTAGCTATGCCCCTCCTACTTCTCCAACTCGGCTCTTTTGCTCCTTTAGTCATAGAGAGCGAGAGAAGATGACCATTGCGGTTATATCAAGGGATCACGGGATTGCAATGGTGGTCTGTCACTGGGCGTTGACCGGGGAATTGCTAAATGTGAAGTTGAAGTCTCCGCGTGGCAGGAGTTTTGTTCCGCATGTTCACTCACTCACTCACTGACTGGGCAGGGAATGACAGCAGGGAAACGTGACCCGCCGGCCATGCTCCTCCTGACCGCCTTCCATCTGCCCCGCCTCCTCAGCTCCTATTCCACTCTCGCCTTTCGTCCCTTTCCCCCTCCAGCTGCTTCCGGCTTGCTGCCTGTCACTCTACTTTAATTCAATCCGGCGCTTTGCTTTTCTGCAGAAGTCGCTCACTGTAGCTTCAAGCTAGCCCTGAGACCCGCTTTGGTCCATCTCATCCTCTCATCCTCTCATCCTCGAGCGTGCCGGTCTCAGACACTTGCTCGGGAGTTTCCCCCTTCGTCACGACCTCTCTTACCAAACCATGGTCGGCATCTCCCGCATCGTACCACTCGCCGAACTTGCTGAGCTTCACGGTGGCTGAGCCACCGACTAGTTATTGACTTTGAATCAAATTGTTCCTTTCCTTTCTACTCACTCGAAATTCCAACCACTACAAGGCGCTGAGTCGTCTAACACCTTCCCTTCACCGTCCCTCCCACTACAACCGCCAGCATGCCCTCCCCGTCGTCGCAATCCCCCGAGGGCGGCGCTACCCAAGCCGCTGGTACAAGCAAGCCTCGATCTTCACACAGAGCTGAGAGTTCCCAGAGAAAGTCAATTCAGTTCAACGTTGGCGGCACGGAGCCGCTGCCGCATCGTCGATCCGTCAGCGCTGCAGGTCACCGACCGCGCCCGCAGCTCGACGTCACCTCCACAGAACGGGAAATCAAGCCTTCGCCCAGTCGTGGGCCGTCCCCTCCACCGCCTCAGTAAGACCATTCTTTTTTGTCCGTGTCTACATGATCTTTGTTGGCTAATGTAATATCAGGACCTACGAGCGAGGTGTGTCGTTTGACACCTTCGATAACCCGGATGCGGCCGACTTCTCCTTAACCCTCAACTACAAACACAAAGGCTATCAGTCCACCCGTCGCAGTCGAACGTTCTTATGCGGGACCGACCAGAACGATTACTCCGACTTCGCGCTGGAATGGCTCATCGACGAGCTCGTCGACGACGGCGATGAAATCGTCTGCCTCCGTGCGGTCGAGAAGGACTCGAGCATCGCCAGCGACGCCGCCGTGGAAGCGGGGAAATACCGGAAGGAGGCGGAGAAGCTGTTTGAGCAGGTGATCCAGAAGAACAGCCAGAACGAAAAGGCCATCAGCCTGGTGCTGGAGCTGGCGGTGGGCAAGGTCCAGGAGATCATCCAACGCATGATCCGGATCTACGAGCCGGCCGTGCTCATCGTGGGCACCCGGGGTCGCAATCTGGGGGGTGTGCAGGGGTTGCTGCCCGGCTCGGTCTCCAAGTACTGCCTGCAGCAGTCGCCGATTCCCGTGATCGTGGTCCGGCCGTCGACGAAGCGCGAGAAGAAGAAGAAGAAGCGTCTGGCCGACCCCACCCGCCGCGGGTACAACAACATCCTGGAGATGAGCGAGCGGCGCGGGAGCCATATCTTCGACCGCAGCACCAGTCGCGACAGCAGTGTGTCGAAGCTGCCCGACGAGGAGGCGGCGGTGGCGGCCGCGCTGGGGCTGCCTCAGTCGTACACGAACTCGCGCAGCTCGCTGTCGACCTCGGAGCGGAGCAGCGTCAGTCACGATGAGTCGCTGTCGTTGAACGGGCTGGTGGAGGCTGCGACCCCGAGCCCTAGTTCGGGAAGTCTGGAGAACTCGGTGGACGGAAGTGGATCGGACGACGAACCGACGGTGGTTCACGTGGAAGACGAGGCCGGCGGGACGCCTTCTCCGGCCCTCGAATTGACCGAGTCTAGCGACAGTTCGGCGCCTGCTGATACCAAGGAGGATGAGGAGGAGGTTGACGAACCGGAGGTTGTCCCGGGCTTGCCTGACTTCAATGTGGTTCCTCGGATTGTTTATGAGGATCCGACCGGTTCGAAGCGCAGTTAGACATGTGGTCAGCGTGACTGCACAGTGATGACCGTGCAACCACCCGTCTTAAATTTTTACTTCGACACCAACATATGTCTTTACGAAACGATGACACGAGGCCGTGGATCCATTCTGCATCCATTCCGCAAACAAGAATCTCAAGACTACATGTCGACGAGCACAAGACACTCAGATGAGAGATTTACACCGATGTTTTTCTCATTCTCTGCTTTATACACTGCCGTGCATTACAGCATTTACAGCTAATTCCAAGCGCAGATCTGATGCATCGATAGATAGCATGTACTGCAATGGTTATGAGAGCCTAAGGTCTCAGTGGGTAGCCTACTGGGGCAGGAATGATATTCATGATACTGTCTGTATCTAGATATTCTAGAATCATTAATCCAATCACAACTCTTAAGTCAAGTCAAGTTGTATGGTAGTGCTGATGAAATCAGATCTCGATGCTGCCATCTTGCTCGGAAGTCCTAAGCAGAACGACCATGCGCAGTATTGTCATTTTACTCTGCTCCGCCAGTGCGTGAGGAAAGAACCCTACTCAGTGCAGCGAGGGACACTCTCAAGGCAAATATCCACCCTCTGCTCACTCCTTGCTATCACTACTTGAAACATACCTCAAATCTCCAGTACACAACCGGAAGACCTCCTTGGGAAACAAATCACCTCTGCCAGCAGAAAGAGGTTGGTCTGCTCTGAGGATTGAGGATATCTACTTAGGGTTTCTGGGTGGTTATAGACTGTCAATGCAGACGGCAGGGGAGGGTAGGATGGCTGAAGTCTGCCTCGTCTCCCAGTTGGATACAGGTAGACAGTTGTTGGGCATTGGCCTTTGAAGTGGTTTGAAACGTTCATGTCGATATACGTGCGAACGCTTCTGAGCTGTAAGCAAGGCTCTATCCCGACTCTATGCCCGATCACGACCACCACCACCACCACTAAAGATGCGACCGCAACGTGCCCCCAGTCCCCAGCGGCTCCTCAAACCCCAGGAACCCCCTCGCCTTGATCTCGGCCAATTTCGCCCGAAACGGGCCCAGCCCGCCGAAATACAACCGACTGGCCGGCCGTTTCCCCGGGACATTGGCCCCGAACATCCACGAGGGCGCCTGGGCGAAGAGGGTCTTGCGCGCGGTGAGATCGCAATGGTCCGTCCACCACCTCTCGGCCTCATGCGTGGCCTCAATCTCGCACTGTTTCCCGCTCTGCCGGGTGATCTCCTCGGCACGGCGGATCAGATCCCGCAGGAAGTCCACGTTGGTCTCGGTGAGCGGCGGCACGTTCGCGAACGCGGCCATGGGCCCGGAGACGATCAGCAGGTTGGGGAAGCCGGACACGGCGCAGCCGAGATAGCACGCCGACCCGGAGCGCCGCCACCGCTCCTTGAGGTCCTCGGCCGGGTCGCGGCCGCGGATCTCGACGCGCGCGTAGCTGCCGTCCAGGGCGTCGAAGCCCGTCGCGACGACGAGGGTGTCCAGCTCGTAGAGCGTGCCGTCCGCGGTGCGGAGGCCCTTTGCCTCGATTTGTGTAATTGGATGCGCCATCACGTCCACGGCGTGCACGTGGTCGCGGTTGAACGTCTCGTAGTACCCGGCGTCGCTGAGCGGGCGGCGCGCGAAGGGCTCGCGGGGCAGCAGCACCGCGGCCTTGCGCGGGTCGTGCACCGCCGCGCGGATCTTGCGGCGCAGGAACCGACACACCTCCTCGTTGGCGGCCGCGTCGGTGGTCAGGTCGCTGAACCCGCCGAACAGGAGCTGCAGCCCGTTGCCCTCGCGCCACGACGCCTCGAGGATCCGCTCGCGGTCCGCCGGGCTCACGGCCATGAAGCGGCGCGACGACTCCGCGAACCCCATCCCCAGGTGCGAGGCGCGCACCTCGGCCCACAGCGCCGGGTACGCCGCGTTGATGGCCGCGCGCTCCGCCGCGCTCACCGGCCGGTCGTTGGCCGGCACGCTGTACTGCGCCCGCCGGATGAAGACGTGCAGCGAGGCCACCCGGTCCGCGATCGCCGTCACCACTTGCACCCCGGACGAGCCGACCCCGATCACGCCCACGCGCTTCCCCGCCAGCGAGACGGCCGGGTCCCAGGCCGCGGTGTGCACGACCTGGCCCTGGAAGGTTCCCTCCTTCAGCCCGGGGATGTCCGGCAGGACGGGCTCGGTCAGCAGCCCCAGCGCCGTCACGAGATACCGCACCGTGTAGGTGTAGTGCACCTTTCCGTCTTCCTCCTCCTCCTCCTCCCCCCTGTCACCTTGCTTCGTCCCGATGCCTCGACACCTCACCCTCCACCTCTTGGCAGCATCGTCCCACTCCGCCCCCTCCATCGCCGTCTCGAACCGCATGTGCCGCCGCAGATCGTACCGCGCCACCACATGCCGCAGGTACGCCAGCACCTCCGGCTGCGTCGAGTACCGGTTCGGCGCCGGGTAGGCGCGCAGCAGCACCTCGTCGAAGCTGTACCGGTACAGATAGCTCCACGTGTCGCTCAGCGCCCCCGGGTACCGGTTCCAGTACCAGGTGCCGCCGACGTCGCGCGCCTTGTCGATCGCCGCCACGCGCAGCCCGTCTTGGAGGAGCGCGTGCAGGGCGTAGATGCCGGCGAAGCCTGTGCCGACGACGAGGGCGTCGAGGTTGAGGTCGGTGTGTTGGGGTGGGCTGGGGTCTTGGGGCATGGTTGTGGGAGGGTCTTCCAAGTTGTCTGGGTAGGCTTCGCTCTCTCTGGGGGGGGGTTCCAGTTGGCTGGGTATGTACATGCATAGTATGCACCGTATGTGGGCAGGTAAGCTCGGCTGGATGCTTATGCCTTATCTTATATACGGCCACTCTCCCCACCCCTGCCTGCCCTTTCAGTCGTCACATTCGGAGAAAGAAGGACAAGCAAACGCAAACGCAAAAAGCAAATATGAAGCAACGCCTCCCCCTCTTTGCTTATGTGGCGATCTTGAAAGAGCGTTTCAATTCCGACTGGCTACGGGGTTTAAAGGATCCCTGTTCTTCGCTGTCCCGTCACATCAGCTAAAATTGGGAGGGCCAGAAACCCCGCACTGGCTTCAGCTACTCAACTGGAATACTGTACTGGGCATTGTTTCAGTTTCACTGCGAGGTGGTTGGAAAGCAGATCAGGGATCTAAGTTAATTAACTACATCAGCTTACAAATTAACCTTCCACCCTTCTCCGAGGAGAGGAGTGGAAATTCCCGCGGCTGGTGCAGGGTTAAAGTACTGGATCTTTCGGGGCGTGAAGTGATCCCCACCTCTTTGATGAATCCGGTGTGGTGGATGTTTGGTGGTCGAGGTGGTTGTCTGGAACGTAAGTATTTCTGTTTGAGTAGAAGGAACGTGGTATGGTTCAAGATTCCACAAATTGATTTCATGGGGACGAGGGGGATCAAGACTGGTGGCCGGGGACAGAAACAGATCCCTCGCTCTCTCCGGAAATCCATCATGGATACCTTAGGTGGTGATTTATTTCCCCGCACCTGCACACCACACCATGACATCGGCCTATGTACTCCGTACTTCGGTCTTGTTTTGTAATTGGTCCATAGGAATGGAGATTTGGACTTGGGTCTGTGGGAATGTCCAGTCGTATGTACCTTTCACAGACCTCGGCAGATTCGCCCATGCGATCGTTGCGCTAGCATGAACATGGCCGCGAGAAGCGAGTGTCGGTTTAACAGTAGGTAAAAGGTGCAATGGCAAGAGATTGATCTTGAACAGGATCTCCGCCAGCATGTGACTCTAACCCCAAAGATCTACAAATGCATCATGCGTCCGCCTCCATCTCATAGTACGGATCATTCGGGTCGTACGGAAACTTACGCACCACCACATCCCCCTGATACCGCCACAGCTCCTCCCCAATGCCAGTAAGCTGCACCGAACAGACCTCCTCCTCCTGCCCGAACGTCTTCACCTCCGTCGCCGACCCATTCGCATAGTTGACCCGCACCATGTTCACCGTCTGCCGGCTCGGGTCCCCCAGCAGATAATTCAGCGGCGTGAACTGCACGCCCGAGTGCGCCGTCGTGAACACCGTGTTGGGCAGGTCGCCCGTGTGCGGGACGTGGTGCATCCCCAGGTTCAGCCACACGACCAGATCGGTCTGGTTCAGCGACTCGCCGTCGAAGAACTCGGCGAAGTTGACGGGCGGGTCGTGGATGTCCTGGCTGTTGTAGGCGTGCGCGGCGCGCGGCTCGTGGTCGTGCTGCCGCGTGACCTGGATGTCGTACTCGGCCCAGTGCGCGGCGTGCGCCAGGTTGCTGGAGTCCTGGACGGTCAGGTGCGCCGTCCCCGCCGCCGGCAGCACGCGGTAGCCCCGATACTCGCCGTACTGGTTGCGGGCGTCCTGGTTGATCACGTGGATCATCGTCGCCCCGTTGGGCCCCCAGTTGAAGCGGCCTTCGTCTTCGGACGGGAGAATCGACCGCTCCAGGGCCATGGTGTTGCGCGAGCGGCCGGCGGACCAGGGGAAGTTGCGCGTGACCGGGGCGACCGTGGTGAGCTCGATGCTGTTGTTCACGCCCAGGATGTCGAAGTCAGCCTTGAAGTTGAGGACGTGGTCGTGCATGCTGCCGGACAACGCATCGTGGATGCGGTAGCCGAAGTCTTCATTGTGCGCGTAGTAGGCGGCTTGGATGTAGCCGGAGGCGCGCACTTCGACGCCAATCGTGCCATCCATGTGGAAGGTGTAGCTAGAGGTACAGTCAATGAGGGGGGTGGTTCATGCGTGTTGTGGGCTTGACTCACCTGGTCATATAGTCGTAGTTGCCAATCGTGGACACGGATCGGAGGGTGAGGTACACGTTCTTCGTACTGCTCACGTAGTCGGACGTGCTGTGGCGCTGGATGGGGTAGTCTGCATCGTATTCAAACACACAGAGACTGTCAATGTGCGTGTGCGTTGTCTCGGAGACGTAGAAGGAGCTGTTGAGGTAGGTTGCATAGACCGGGCAGTCGTAGCCTTTGACTAGCTCAAAGGCATACGGCCCAAATCCGTAGTATGAGTCCAGATACGCGACGCTGGATTGTATTGGATCGTTGCCAGCATAGTGGGCGAGTGCCTCCTGTAGACCAAACTCGTACAGCACGCGCTGACCCTTGTAGCGGATATCAAAAACGGATACTCCCGTGTCACGCGAGAAGCTGATATAAAACGAGAAGTCCATCCATGTCACGTATTTGCGGTCAAGGTCCACAGAGTACCGTGCTCCTGACGGCGCTACCATGAGAGGAGGTTGCTGCTTGTCTTGTGGAAGTATGGGGCCCCGTTGATCCGTCTGTGCCCATGGTCCTTCGACGTTGGGCTTCAGTTTGACGAATCCAGGTGAGAAAAATGCATTGCGGAATGCCTCGGTCGTTTCGTAGAAGACGTCATTGTAAAGCCAGCCCTCAAGCTTCCACTGAGAAGGATCACGCCCAGTCACGTCGGACTGGAAGAATAGTCCCAGCGGTAGGATGCTGCCGGTGTCGAACTCATCCGTTGGCATGTTCCAGAATGTGTCCCAGCGGATGATCCGGCCGTCATCCTGCCAGAGGGGGTCAATGCCCCATACGTCAAGGGTGTCGTTGTCTAAGCCCAATGCAGTCCCATTGAACAGGTCTAGGGTAATATCTGCAATGGATGCACTAATCTTATACAACCACTCAGAGTAGATGGTGCTATAGTCAGCGTCGAGATTGCGCACACGGCCGTGAGTCTTGCGCGTGTAAGGATACTCTAGTGGCACCCACGTAGGGATGGATTGATTGGTGATGGGTAGAGGCCCGACCAGAAGATCAGCATAATGAGGAGCAGTAGTGGCGCGGTTGTCAAGGACGACATGCGCATAACGGCTGGGTGCTGGGCCATGGTGATCGAGATATCTCAAGACATCCGTCTTGTTAGGCCGCATCAGCTCGACGAGCTCACTGGTCCTGTTAGCAACCGAGCAGTGATCAGAAAGATAGGGCTTGCATTGTGTTATCCCACTCTCCGGCATTCTCCGTGACAGTCAGGTTTAGAGCTGTTTGCTGGAAAAGCCACTTGACCACGGATGCTGTCTCATCGTCCGTCAACCCTTCCCAAACATTATGCCTCGGCGCTTTGATCACAGTTGCGTTCTTGTCGACGCAAGAGGACGAGGACATAGACGAACGGGCTTGCAGGTTACGCGGGGAACTCTTCCTCCCACGACCTTGACGCACCCATGCGGTCTTGGGATCGGGTTTCGGATGAGCTAGAACATCCCCAATCAAGCATGACAGAAGGAGCCATGAGGCAATTGCTGCCACGGAAATCGTCAACCTCATGTTGTCCAACGATGCAGGAATCACTGACAGTTGTGAGACGAGATACAATGCCAGCGTTATGGTTTTATATTTGTCACATTCGCGCTGTTCGGAACTAGCTAGGCTACCATCTCACCAGGAGCAGTATCATCTGAGCTGATATCGGAGAGTACTGTTGGCCATTCTCGTCACTCTCCTATTGTTGGGACCACAAGCCCGTCGGATACATCGCGTCAGCTTGCTGTTGGACTTTCCTGAACCAGAAGGTACAGGCGGTGGTGTAAATGATGCATATGCTATCAGTAGATATAAGGATATAGCTTGAGTCCCGAAGGCCATACATCGAGCCCGTCGTGATATGCCTCAATTTGGTTGGGCTTGACAGAAACTTGGCGCGACCGTGCCCTGTATATGAGGATGGGATCGGAAGGGTTTGCGATTATCTCCAGCGAATCCGAGTCAGTCGTCAAGAATGGGGTTTATCGCGTCCCGCGTTGATAGACCCTGCGGGGTAAGCAGTTTCTGGATGACTTCAAGGAGAGCCAGAGGATACGCAGGTATATGACAGATCCACGCTGCAGAGCAATGGAAGCATTGAGTCTTGGCATCGATGAAGTTTTGGAATTTAATCGTTCAACAGCGTGGGCATTGTTACGAAGTACATGATAGACCTCGTTCAACAACACCTCGAGGCTAGGTGGAATTGCATAGTATGCCAGTTTTCGATACAGACTGTGATCGCTGGACCTTCCGACTAGGCCGTTCATCTCTCTTCTGATGCGATGCAGCTGTGGTATCGTCAAGTTCCTATACTTAGCACCATGCATTAGCACCAAACGAAAATCGACCCAGTACCATCTCGGAATGTATGACAGAATAGTTGCTCACCATGGTAGCAGATCTAAGCGAGGTGACAGGTGTAGCGTCTCTGAATCTGAGTAGCAGGGATGAGGGGTAGTTATCTCCAGCCTATAAGCGACAACCAACTTAGGCAACCCAAGCAATTATCACCAAGGCGGAGAATGAATTGTGAAAGAGAGCTGGACCCAGAATATCGCGCACAGAGTGCGACAGTAAGTCCTCCAGAGGCGTCCCAATGTGTGACGAAGAGAATGTAGTCAAGCTGAAGGTGGTAGGAAAGGAAGTAAGCGAGCAAGCAGGTGAATCTCGGCTATCCCAAACTTTGCACCCTCAGGCAGCCATCCTCATTGTCGGACTAGGGGAAACGTCCAGAACTCTCGTGTAGCGTTGCTGTTAGGCCCACCAGATAATTTCAAGATTGTCTGTGAATAGTTGAAGTTCATCGGCCTGTCCAACAGCAAGAAACCTGTATCGGGCTGAGCCACCTCTGTGCGACCCTGACTTCGACGTTGTTGGCAGATGTATACTGCCTCGGACGTCT